AGTGCAACAATAGAAAAATAGTTGCGGGACGGCACTGTGTAGCGTTTGTCTAGGGTGTTGATCATTTTCCTAAATCCCTCGTTTTTGCACAGTGTTGATGGGACCCATATCTTTGGTCAGGTGATAAGTGATAGCCTCCGTAATTTCTTTGTGCCTGCGGGAGTTCGACGGGTATAGGGAAGCGCTGTATAAGGTTACCGTTATTGATGTTTGGGTGGTTGACCGGGACGGATTTTCTCTTGTCACTTTCTCGTCATCCCTGATGTGCTCTCCGTTGTTTTTTCCCTGCTAATTTTAGCATCACACGGCACAGCTTCTGTATCACGTGGTATAAGGCTCCGCCCTTGTCATTTGTTGAGCAGGAAGAGTGAGCGCTTGTTTTCATGCAGAGTACGTCCCGGATGAAAATGCGGTACAGTCGTCGTCGTTTTTTAAATTTTTTTAAAAAAAATTTTTTTAAAAAATTTTTTTTATCGTTGTCATTTGGAAATGAGATCGCACATAAGTATGAATCGAGATCGCGATTTTCTAACGATTAATCGTGCAGCCCTAACATCAATTATAAAAATTTATCGACACAGAATTTGCTCCTGTCCATTTCTTCAATTAGTCCCAAGTTGAGGTCGCCCCCAAGAACAAGTGATATATTACATTGTTACATTATGAATGTACTGTGAGTATAATAATACTAATGGAAATGAGTAAGGGTAGCACAGTGGCACTGTGGTTTGCACTGTTACACCAAGAGGTGTGAGGCAACAGTGAGTTCAATTCCACCATCAAGCCAGGGTCTTTCTGTGTGGAGTTTGCATGTTCTTCCCATGTTTGCATGGGTTCTTTCCGGGCGCTCCGGCTTCCTCTCACAGTCCAAAGACATGCAGTTAGTGGGGATAGGTTAACTGGAAACTCTAAATTGCCCATAGGTGTGAGTGTGAGTGGTTGTGTGTCTCTATCTGTTAACCCTGCGGATGCCTGGCGACCTGTCCAGGGAGTACCCTTCCTCTCTAGGACAGCTGGAATAGGCTTCAGCCCCCCTGCGACCCTGGCAAGGATAAGTGGAAGAGAATAGATGGATGGAGCATGTACGTACTTGTCTGTGAGGCAATAGTGGATGTGCTGACACTGAGTGCGTGTGTGTGTGATTGTGCCATGCCGATGTGTAAAAATTAGGGGGGTGGTTTGTGACTGTGTAGGAAAACAGGTGATCGGTGCAGTGAAAGAAGTAAGAAAACCATGGAAAAGGAGGGAGGGATGAAAGAGAAAACTTGAACAAAAACAAAAACATTGTAATGAAATATCCCTAAGATGTCAGTGTAGGTTCTTAGTCATCCAGGTCACAGTGGTCATGGTAGACTACCACGACGTGAATTTGTCTGAAAACCTCACGTGGGCATGCAACTAGGGCCGCAGTGATTCATCGGGTATTTCGAATAATTTAATTATAAAAAAAATTTAGACACAAATTCTTTGCTTTGATACTTTGTGATATCAGCTTGAGTGAAAAAAAATGTGTTTCTCGTGTTCAAAACACTAGCGCTGTTCCCGTAATCACCATTAAAACCTTTGCTGGCAGAAACTAACCAAGTTCTTCATCAAAGCACCTGATCAACAAACTCCGACATGAAGACAAGCAAACTTTGTAGCTGTTCCATCCACCGCTCTTTGTTTTACACAGAGAAAAATCTGCAGTAAGCATCCAGAAGATGAAGGCTGAAGGCTGATGTCAGCCGTCTTATTGTGGAAGCAAACGGGCAAAAAAATGGGGCACGGCGTGTAATTTATTTCAAGGTTTTCATGTCTTTTTTTTTTTTTTTCCAGATTGAAAATGAAATAATATAAAATACTATCTCAGTTAAATTGTGTTCATATACACACTGAACTGAGTGATTTTAGGTTGGACAGTAAATATTAATGTCTACTCTATCATAACGTCTTGTTTTCAACAGCACAGAAACATTGCATCAAAGCACAGGGCAAACTTCAGAATGCTGATATGCTTGCTTCCCTTCATTGGAGCTACCACATTCTTCTTTATGGGCTTACAGACACAAACTCACTCATTCACTTGTACACTTAAACACACAGAAATAAACAAAAGTCAAAAAAGCCTTCCAAAAAGACAGAGTAAAGATGCATTTTGTTTAGATTGCATGTTTATTTAGTTTTCTTTGACATTGACTTAAACCTCGTGCGTTCTCCCAAGTAGTAATAAATATATTAAAAATAAGGCTTTTATGAAACCCCTGAATAAAAAATTTCTTCTTGAAAATTTACAGTTCAGTATTTAATATTACATAAAATAAACCATATACACGTGTCTTTGAATGGCAAATATGCAGAAATGTCTGCATGGCTAGATGCAGCAGTGCTCGTTCAGCCTGACTAGAGCCTCCTTGCTGGGTGTCGCCCTCTGCTCGCTCACTGCGTTTGTGTCTAGTCTATGCGCTATCACTATGTGTTCTCTAATAAAGGTGAACCCTCAAACCTTCTTCTACTGGCAGCTCATGTCTAAACTGTTTCTCTTTTGGCACAAATAATTTACCTGTTTTTGTGTTCTGAAACTATTAAAATTCTGGCACAGTAAAGAAAGACAAATGCCAATGTCATGTATATGATTACCTCACTGCATACACGAGTAGGCATGTATCAGCTAAACAGAAAACAGTTTTAATTGCTTTGATAACTCTGTGCATGCGTGTGTACAAACGAGAACAGTAGTCTAATAACTTAACAGTTGTAGCTTTAAGTGTTTGAGCTCTGAGAGAACCATCTTTTGGTGATATAGTGGTACTATTACTATTATTGTTGTTGTTGTAGTTGTCATGTGACATCTGCAGCACGCCATCTAAGCCCAGAGGTTTCATGTGAACACACTGACGCATTTTCCTGCACTTTTCTGTTTTGCAGGTCTGTGAAGATGCCGGGCTTCCTGTCATTCAGCTACTGAATGCTAAATTAGACTGCAGGCCAACACAAGAACATTTCTCAGGAAACACACAGACCCAGTCTCAGCTTCCAAAGCTCCTCATCACAACAGCCCTTTTGGGGTTGCTATGGCAGCTGCTGTCACAGAAACCAAGTGCTGGACACAGGCTTGCCCCAGTAAGGCAGGACAGACCTCTAGTCATTGCTGCAAGAGACTGTCAGACAGCACTTAGCATTTATCGTGCACTTTAACAAACGATCCGAACTCCGTGGGCTGATAGTACCGTCTCCTCATGAGTTTTGTGTTTATCAGCGCAGGCTCGTGGCCAGAGTCCCTGAGCAGCACAGCCGAAACCCACCATTGTATTAGACCATGTTCCACCAGCAAGACCATCTAAAGAGCCAGCCACAGGAGAGCCATCCTGCCGTTCGGCAGCTTTTTCACTGCCAGGACTGTGGGAAGCAGTACAACACCCAGCTAGGTTACAGACGCCACCTCGTGGCAGCTCACAGTGCTGCAGCAGCCCTGCCCTGCTCAGATGTCGCTCCTTCCCTGCTGGAGCACCTGGGTGGCCATATTGACAGGCCTCCACCGTCAGAGGGAAGCATTAATGTTGTGGTGCCAGTAAGAGAGAGGAAGTACTCCTGTGAGAGATGCGACCGCCGTTTTTACACACGTAAGGATGTGCGCCGTCATGCGGTGGTGCACACAGGACGCCGTGACTTCCTGTGTCCGCGCTGTGCCCAACGCTTTGGCCGCAGAGACCACCTGACTCGCCATTTGAAGAAGAGCCATGCCCAGGAGACGGGGTTGATGCCACCCTGCAGTTCCAGCACTCCTGTGGCTACACCGAGCCCCTCCACTATGTGCCCAGTAAAAGAGGAGCCCAGCCCAGTCACCACTGAGATGGCCTCTGTCTCCAAGGAGCCCATGGAGACTTTTTCCAGGGAAATGTACTCCTCGTACCACATGGCCAGTCCTGTCCCTGGCATGGGCCAACCTCATGGCCTTATTCAAGGCTCCTTGTCCTCAAGCATGGGTGTGGCTCGCCACATGCCCGCTCAGTCTTCCCAACCCCACCATCATCACCTGGCACCATCGGCATCTCCGCAGCAGCAGCATTACAGCAACATGCCACGGTACCAGCACCACGGCTCTACCTCATATCCTCGTGGCGACGTGGACAGCTTCCTGCTGGACCTGCAGAGTGCCCCCGCGCCTCACCTGAGTGCAGTAAACTCCTCTACCTCTACTTCTGCTTCCCCTCAGAGGGACGTTCTGGCTGAAGGGGTGAGTGCTGGTGGTGACCCACACTTGATGTCCAGGAGCCCTGCTGTGCCCTCAGCTGAGCTGTCCTGCACCACTAACATGGACCTGGGACCCCTGCTGAGCTTCTTACCTTTCAGCCTGCCACCGTACAGCCCTCACATGGGGATGGGAAGCTTAGTGATGAGCTATCCAACTACCACCACCACCACCACCGCGTGCTCTCCATCCTCTTCCACCGGGCTGTCCTCCCAGGCTCCAGGGCCGTTCACCTTCTTCCAGTCTCCGCAGGCTAATGCACCACAGGGCCCTGGGCCCCACAACCACACCCAACTACCTCAGGCATACAGCAGTCCTGCTATGAGCACATCCACTTCCCTACCTCATTACTACCAGGCCTTTCAGCAGTAAGCAGCTGTCCCCGCGCAGTGCTCGATGTCTTTGTTCATGAAAATAGTCAAATTAAGGAACGGCGTCTTTACTGTAAAACAGATGTCTTGTTTTAGATATTGTTGAACGCAACAAATCACCTCAGCAGTATTACCTCATTATTTAAAGTAAGCTTGAATGTTTAAGAAGGTGTAGATGTTTTAACTGCAACCAAAATATACTTGTACTTCTCCATCTAGAAACAGTAGATGCACTTCATACGGGTGCTGCTCATTGCTCTCACTGAGCCTGTCATCTGTGAGAAACGGACACCTTCCTTACTCAGGTGGATGTGAGCACTACCGAAAAGACTAAGCCTCAGAGCACCTGTTTGTTTGACATTTGGATCAGCTTCCTGTCAATGCCGTGCATCATCCATACGATGTATCCACATGTTATTGTCTTTCAAAATGAAGCGTATTTTGTCTGCTTCAAGTTTCAGCAACCCTGTACAAATGTCTGTCAGATCAAACATCTCATCCATCTTACTGGAAATGAAGCACAAATGAAATAGAATGAGCTTTGTGACCATTAACACAGTCCCTTTTTAGAAGCTTAGGGACATTTAGTCATAAATCTTTTATTTTTTATTTTCACCGAAGACATGCCAAAACACATGGGGGGGGGCTGCTCCACTGTTACCGATGGGGAAACAGGTTTCGAAATGTTCTGACTCTGAACCAGAATATTTGACACAATAGGAACTGATAAGACAAAGTTTCCTTAGAGCAAAATGAACTCATTGTGCAGTACTACCTGTTTTGTTCCAAATATTTCTGTTTTTGAGTTGCAGCAATGGATTACCTGTGAAGAGCAACTGGGTGAATCACAGTTTGCTCTCCATCTATTCAGTTTCTTAAACCATCTCGGAGTCCAGGTTGCTGGAGCCTGTCCCAGAGGGGCTGAAAAGTGGCCTCCACTCTGGACAGACTAGCAGGGAGAAACAAAATATGGACATTTAGGAGGCTGAAATACATTACTGAGGTGTCATTTAACGGCCAGTATGAACAGGATGCAGTATTACAGAGAAAAATCTGTTACTTTCATATTTATGGGGAATATTTAAACAAACCACTGGATCCCATGTTTTCTAGGTTTGGGTGTGTTTTTTCAAGTCAGCTTAATATTATTTTTCTCATTGGCGGCTGCTGCTGCAATGACCACAGCATGACGAGAAACCTTTTAAATGTACACATGTGAATCAAGGGATTGCTGGAAATGGTAGAAAGTATTGGTTGGACGGTGGCCGCCCTGGCTTCGTGACCTGACGTGGGGCAGCTGGGAACTGATTTAAGCAGAAGGAAGCTTCACATTCCACCCTGTTACCTGTGTTTTCTTTTTTCTGAACTGGACCACTGGATGTGAGCACTGTTAGAACCGAGCACGAACATCCACGTGGAGCATTTCTACCCATTTCACTGTTGCTATTAACACCGTTCTTCAGTGGCTGTGGTGCTGGACTCTGTGAATCTGATAAAATTAGCACTATAAGCACCCTCATCCCTCTTGTCCTGGTCTCACCTTTGCTGCTGATACACGGGGAAGCAGCTAAAGAGTGGATGGTGTCACAGGAAAACAAGAAGCCTCCAGTAACAGACCCAGTTACCTGACATTCACCCAATGCGTCAGGGCTGGTGGAATGGTTTTAAGTCTTCAACTGGTGTGAAGTGACTGATGTGATCTTTAGAGAGGGAGTCATTTAGATGACTCTTTCCTCAACCTTCATTCATAAACCCCTCTAATTAGCACTGTGCCAGGCTTCACATTGTCTTAAAATGCTACTGTTGTGCCTCTCTAAGAGTGTCTAATCTCGTGACTGGGTTGAAGCACTTAGGACAATTCTCAAAAAGTTTGAATTTGATGTGTACCTCAGACCTGGAACTGTGGCTTTCTGCTTTATTTCTGTTGGCTTTTAGTTGTTTGGACTCTTTTGGTGCCATTATATTGAAACTTTAAAGGTAGATTTGTTCTTTATGTAGTTGCAGACATAATTCAAACCTTCTACCTCTACATTGTCACGTAACTTTTGCAGCAATCATTAGAAATTGTTTTAACATGAAGCAGTTTTTAGCACTGAAGAAGGGGAATTATTCAGAAGTCATTCTGACGGCCTGCGTATACACGTGGGTTTGAGTGCTATATTGGAGAGTCATTTCTGTACTTGCCTTTAATGATATTTCTACTTATTTACTACCTCAGATGAGACGGGAAACTGTCCATCTAACTGCAGAGAAATTTCTCTGTGTAGTTTTATTTTTGTCACAAGCACATGTACTTTGTAGTTCTGTAGTTTTTATTGAAGCTAGCTGCTGCAGCTGATGCTACAGCCTGTGCGTTCACTGCTCGTGCCTCAGCCTGTTTAACACTTGTTTCGGTTAGGGATCAGGCCTCCGTCTAAAGGAATTTCACAACTCTTTATTGGAATGCTGAGATGAAATTGAAGGGAGTGCTGACGTGGAATATTCCAAATAAATGTTCCTACAGTGAGCGTAGCAGATTGATCAAAAATCTAATAAGTCTCCAGAACACAAAACAAAATCAACAGTCGTATGGAACTCTACATACGATACGTGTGAAGAACAATAAGCTGGACAGCCACAGAGAGGCTGTCCCAAATTTGGCATAATTGTTTGAGAATGTATGTTTGAAAAGTTTGCCAGCAAACACAGATGGTCTTCACCTGAGCTGTGACTACAACTGGTTGCACTGCTCGCTGCTCTGTCGGCCTCTGAAGCCTATCCCAGCTACCGTAGACCGAGAGGCGGGGTACACCCTGGAAAGGTAGCTTAAGCAACTATGGCAAATGTGATCAAACGCACTCCAGACTGATGGCGGAGAAGGGCAGAAACAAGGTTTCACCTCACTAATGACTGTGGTGCCTGCATTTAGCCCGGCTTTGAGAGCCAGTCCAGTGCAGGTTTAGCCACCTTAAACTTAGTTACTTTTTGCTTTAGGGATTTATATTCTAGTTTAATAGACTAGGAGACTGTGACAAGAAAAGGAGTTGTCATTTTCTAATTATCTGAACATAAAGTCATACAAAATAAAATCTTTAGATTTACACTGTCTGTGTCTATGTGCATTTTTATGGAAATCAAATTGCAAAGTTGGGGTATATGTATTTAACCAGACTTGGAGTACCTTCATGTAAGCTGTATTTGTATACAGAAACAAGGTGAATAGGATAGTAACTGTGCTGGTCTTCTGCATGCTGACGCTACCTATAGATTATTTTTAAACCAGATTTAGTTTACTTTTTATTAGTGAGTGAATTACACTTAAATACAAGCATAAGAAGGCAGAATCTGTGGCCTTAAAGCCAGAAGCTTTTCAGATATTTCTGTTAATCCCATCAAAATGTCATTTTAAAATATGACTATTGTCAATACATTAAATATTAATGTAGAGTCAAACCAACTACCAAGTGTACACTACAAGTTTGAGCCAGTATGCTTTGCATTCTGGGATGCAGCAAGGTAATATAGATGTGCCAAGATCTGTATGCGGTAACTAGCTGTGAATGATCATATAGGCTCTGTGTTCTCAAATAGTCCAGAACAAAGCACCTTCTTCCTGTATGTACCTTTGTTGCTCCCGATAAAGCAGACTAACAATTCCCAGATGGTTTGTAATGATGCATTTTGGTTTTCCCACGAGATCTCATAGTTAAAGACCTCATAGTACCATATCAGCCCTGTGTTGTGCTGTATTGCGGCTTCCCCCCCTAATTTTTAAGTACGTTTCATGACAAAAACACATACAGACACTTTCTATCTCTCTCTCTCTCACACACACTCACACTCTACAAGAAGATTGTTAAATTATGCATCTGTGCATTTTAATATTTTTGAGCTGTATGTTTTGGGGGGAGGTTCTTACAGGTGCAGCATTTCTATTTGGGGCTGGAGCCTATGATAGCTGTCATAGTGACACTGACCCTAGACAAATACAAAACTAGTGAAAAACAGTCAGAAGCGACTAGGATGGGCAAAAAAAAAGTTAGTGGCCCGACCTGCAAAACCGTTAGTGTTTTGAGAGTTGTCTCATTGTCGCCCCTCTAGTGCAACCAAAGCAGTTGAAACTGTTTAATAGCTCCCTCTCCTACTTAACTGACCAGATAAATATTTCAGAAATTTAACTGACTTGATGCTACATAAAATGTGTTTCTTTTATTTATGTCTGTGAAGGTTCTCAGTCATCCAGGTCATCGTAGTCAAAGAAGCTTGCAAAGAAAAGCGTCTGGACTTCTCCAGACGCTTTTCTTTGCAAGCTCCTTTGACTTTCTTTCTTTTATTTATTTATTTATTTATTTTAGCAGTGTATAAAGAAATTAGGTAGCTCTAGACATTTGCACTATATTGTACATATTTTAAATTTTCTACATGAGTAAATGTAACTTTTGTAAAAAGCAATCAGAAGCCTCTTTGCTTTATCTGAGGATGGCGTTCAGGGCTTCTAACATTTCACAAAACAAAGGTTGCTCTCACATTGTTCTTATAGTGCTGAGATTTTTCCATTACTTGGAGCAGGCCTATGTTGGAGGTCTAGAGAAGATTTCCATGAATGATCTGCTGGCACTTCATGATCATACATCCTGTCAGATCTCCATGGTGAGGATTCTGACATGTCTATCTCAGTGAATAACACATCTGGCATTTGGTGTAGGTGAATGTAGCTGTTCACAGTAATGTGGAATTGGGTCTTGTTGATTGTTAAATTAAAGCACAACACCTGTAAGCTGGTTTGTTAAATACTGTTAAAATACTGTGTGTGTGAAGCTGTTGTAAAACCAGTCTAATGCTAAAAATGCCAAAATACAAGCTACAGGGAGTGCAGAATTATTAGGCAAGTTGTATTTTTGAGGAATAATTTTATTATTGAACAACAACCATGTTCTCAGTGAACCCAAAAAACCCATTAATATCAAAGCTGAATGTTTTTGGAAGTAGTTTTTAGTTTTAGCTATTTTAGGGGGATATCTGTGTGTGCAGGTGACTATTACTGTGCATAATTATTAGGCAACTTAACAAAAAACAAATATATACCCATTTCAATTATTTATTTTTACCAGTGAAACCAATATAACATCTCCACATTCACAAATATACATTTCTGACATTCAAAAACAAAACAAAAACAAATCAGCGACCAATATAGCCACCTTTCTTTGCAAGGACACTCAAAAGCCTGCCATCCATGGATTCTGTCAGTGTTTTGATCTGTTCACCATCAACATTGCGTGCAGCAGCAACCACAGCCTCCCAGACACTGTTCAGAGAGGTGTACTGTTTTCCCTCCTTGTAAATCTCACATTTGATGATGGACCACAGGTTCTCAATGGGGTTCAGATCAGGTGAACAAGGTGGCCATGTCATTAGTTTTTCTTCTTTTATACCCTTTCTTGCCAGCCACGCTGTGGAGTACTTGGACGCGTGTGATGGAGCATTGTCCTGCATGAAAATCATGTTTTTCTTGAAGGATGCAGACTTCTTCCTGTACCACTGCTTGAAGAAGGTGTCTTCCAGAAACTGGCAGTAGGACTGGGAGTTGAGCTTGACTCCATCCTCAACCCGAAAAGGCCCCACAAGCTCATCTTTGATGATACCAGCCCAAACCAGTACTCCACCTCCACCTTGCTGGCGTCTGAGTCGGACTGGAGCTCTCTGCCCTTTACCAATCCAGCCACGGGCCCATCCATCTGGCCCATCAAGACTCACTCTCATTTCATCAGTCCATAAAACCTTAGAAAAACCAGTCTTGAGATATTTCTTGGCCCAGTCTTGACGTTTCAGCTTGTGTGTCTTGTTCAGTGGTGGTCGTCTTTCAGCCTTTCTTACCTTGGCCATGTCTCTGAGTATTGCACACCTTGTGCTTTTGGGCACTCCAGTGATGTTGCAGCTCTGAAATATGGCCAAACTGGTGGCAAGTGGCATCTTGGCAGCTGCACGCTTGACTTTTCTCAGTTCATGGGCAGTTATTTTGCGCCTTGGTTTTTCCACACGCTTCTTGCGACCCTGTTGACTATTTTGAATGAAACGCTTGATTGTTCGATGATCACGCTTCAGAAGCTTTGCAATTTTGAGACTGCTGCATCCCTCTGCAAGATATCTCACTATTTTTGACTTTTCTGAGCCTGTCAAGTCCTTCTTTTGACCCATTTTGCCAAAGGAAAGGACGTTGCCTAATAATTATGCACACCTGATATAGGGTGTTGATGTCATTAGACCACACCCCTTCTCATTACAGAGATGCACATCACCTAATATGCTTAATTGGTAGTAGGCTTTCGAGCCTATACAGCTTGGAGTAAGACAACATGCATGAAGAGGATGATGTGGACAAAATACTCTTTTGCCTAATAATTCTGCACTCCCTGTATTTCAGATCATTCTGATAATGATAGTAACTGTGGGTTTCTCTAGACCATAGGTGTCAAACTCTGGCACACGGGCCAAATTTGGCCCGCAGCCTAATTACATTTGGCCCGCGAAGCCATACTAAATTACTATTTGGTATGCCTACTGGTATTATACAGCTAATATATATATTGTTTAGTATTAAGCTATGCTTGTTCCATATTCAGTTTTTCAGCAAAACTTGTTTGGGTCCATAAGAAAAGATTCATTCTCATATCTGGAGGAAGATTTTTTTTTTTTCAATAAATATTAATGTTAGCCCGCAACTTTGTTCCAGTTTTGAATTTTGGCCACTGTGTATTTGAGTTTGACACCCCTGCTCTAGACTGTCTCTGGTTGATGTTATTTCTTTTTCTAAAATATAGTACTGACGACTCATTCAAACTTACAGACTTTATGAAAAGAGCACAAAATACTGTAAGCACAAATATTTTTGTTCATGGGTAGCAGGAAGCATTAGCTAAAAGCCACGCCCCTGCTACTCGTGCCACCAGAGGCGCAACAGCTGTTCTCCAATCCAGCAGGTGGCGGTATTCCACCTTAGAGCTGTTTGCCATTGACACTAAAGAAGAGAGCGGGTCGCGCAGATAGTAAACGGAATAGTCGACACAATGCTGGAACGTAGTGTGCGCTGGGAAACTATATAAAGATCAACCTTTAAAGTATACTGTTTGACGTCTTTGGGGTTTACTAAAAACCAACGCAGTCAAAGTCAGTGCTTTAAGGTCCTTGGAACACGCGGAGACGCCCCTTGCAGTAGCAGCTAACTTGAGTTATCAGTATAACGTACAGGTGTGTGGGGTCGTGGGGAGCTCGGTGACTTGTAGAGTATTCAGAAGCCTCGGGGGCACAATGTAAGAGGACTGTTTGTGAAGAACGACTCCATCCACGGTAAGGCACACCCACGGCTTTGACTTAGCAAGTTGTTAGTGAAGCTAGCCTTAGCTTCTATCGAAGTTGGTTGACAGGTCAGCTCGTAATTTATCCTTGAGCAGCTACTCCAGACTGTTAACAGGACTTTGTGTCATGGTCAAGAACAAAGATGGAGGAACATATGAGAAACAGAAGCTTAATCAGAGGTTGTGCAGCCGGAGTACTTGATGACATAGATTATCTTGCACAAAGATGAGGAAAGCGTCAGTGTTAAAAGAGCTTGGCGCAACGTGCCGAGTGTTTCTATTTTATATGTGTTTATATTAAAAGCAGCATTAAGAAGAGCTTGATGGCACTGCTGCAATATTATCTTCAGCACTGTGTGAAAGGTCGCAGGGGCGGTGACGGATGCAACCAGCACGTTTAGCTGGTTTTGACTCTGCGTGGATGAGGGCGTGGATGAGGTGAAGCTTTCATAGATCTGCAGTGCCATCTTTGTCGGTATTCTCATAAACCCGCACTCACATAGCGGGGGTGCCGCTAAAAATGATAAAAGAAACTTGCTTAGTGTTCATTTGTGGTTCGAGGCTGATAATTTGTTTCTGATTTAGATATAGCAGTTGTGAGGTCAGTGACTGCTACAGTCTTTCACAGTGGGCACTTTTTTTTTTTTTTAAATCTTCTTTATTTTAACTTATTATTTGTACTATGCTTCATCCAAAGTTTATTTGTAACTTTTGAAAATACATTTTAGATGTTAGGTATTTTGCTGTTTGTTATATTGCTTGTTTATTTAGGTTCTATAGGTTCTAAAATCACAGAGCCAGCCTTCCTAGTAAGTTTATTCAGTGTGTTACTTTTACCAGCTCTGATGCTGCTGCCCCAGCAGACGACGGCAAAGAAAAAGTACAGTAAGCTTACCACAACTGACTGACAGGTAATCTCCATCATATTGCTGCCCATGTTGAAGGATATCGGCTTCCTTAGCAAATGGGGGCTTCTCATTCCGTTCTTGTTTCCAGGCTTTGTTGGTCATCCACTTCACCCTGTTGTGGATGTGGACGCCCAAGTACTTTTACTCCTTGTCCCAGGATAGACACGGACTGTGTAGCCATCCTCTTCCTTCTGAAGATGACCCTTTAATTTGGTCTTTTTTTACATTTAGGAGCCATTAGTCTGAGAGAGGGAAACAAGGCTGTGCTTAAAAACACTCAGAGCAGAGTGTTGGCCAATGATAATATTTAAATAAATCAGATAATCAGCTGTCAGAACATCAGCAAAGTTACCATAGTGACAACATTATTTGGCTTGGTGCTTAAAAGGCTTATAAGACCCAGACTGTAAATGGTATCTTCTTGCTTTAGAGATCAAGAGAAGAAGTTGCTCTACATCAAATCAAATCACTTTTATTGTCACATCACATGTGCAGGTACATTGGTACAGTACATGTGAGTGCAATTCTTGTGTGTGAGCTTCACAAGCAACAGAGTTGTGCAAAATACAATAATGTAAACAAGCAAAATACAATAATGTAAACAAGCAAAATACAAGAATGGCTACATCTGAAACTAATAAATATATGTACAATATATAATAGTATATGCATTTCTGGATGTGTATACTAAATATTTTTCTACGTGTGTGTGTGTGTGTATACACATATTTTACAAATTAGAGTAAACAATAAATAAAATATATAAAAATATACAGAGTTGAGACATGTGCAAAACAGTGGCTTTACATGTGTGTTCTGTGCTGTGAAAATGTATTCAAAGAGAGAGAGAGTGAAAAACAGCTGCTTTCTGCTTTTCTTAAACCAATCTAAATATAATAGAACTGCATCAAGCACTGAAATGGCACTCCTTTCATTCAAATACCTCCAGATCAAAAAGTATACATCTGTTGCCTTTGAGGAGCACCTTGTGGGAAAGGGGACACATTTTCCTACAATTTGAGGATCAAATGATGGCTCTAGATTGAAAATTGTGGATTCCCCTGCAGGTTGAAGAGAAAAATGTAATTAGATTTATTTTCTGCCCAGCCTGTTGCCTAAATCAGTCCATTGCTGTCATGTTGATTCGATGTGGAATGACCTCTCTATGTCAAATGTTTGGGAGGAAAGATGCCTAGAGTAAGAAAATTGACAGATTATTGATATGAATGAAGATGTTTGGTAATAAATGTTAAGACTTTATCAACAATAAGCCATGCCTCAACGGTTGGTTTGGTTTCTTTATTAGAAAAATGGTGTGAGAGAGTGTGATAATGATAATTGTAAAGATAACAGTTTTCGTTTACAACAAATAATAGGCTGTCACCAATGAAATGGTCTTTTAAGGCTACCCCTGGCTAGCATGCAGTGCACTATTAGACGAGTATTGGCCGAATTCCTATTTCAGACAGCTTGTCAGTCCAGTTTGCAGTAAGAAAGTAAATGTGCTTGTACTGAATAATGTGTCGCTTTTGCTAAACATACTGGGCGTGTCTGTGATGTTTTATCTCTCTAGTGCCATGTCTCTGGTATTTCCACGACTCAGCACCAACCCATTTCATAGCAAGAAGGAAAAAAGAATCATGGCGGAAGTGAACGCATCACCGCTTAAACATTTTGTCACAGCAAAGAAGAAGATCAACGGGATCTTTGAGCAGCTGGGGGCTTACATCAAGGAGAGTGCTTCCTTCCTGGAAGGTACTACAACACCGAACACACACTCTTACCACTTTACTACACGTAAAAGTCACAAATGTAAAGAGTCTTGCTTGAATTGATATTTTTCTGGACTCTGTCCAAACCACTTGGCCATACCTATCAGTGTTGCAGTGCTTTCCCAGCTTGTATCTTTGATCCTGCTACCATGCGCTGGCCAGTCCCAGGTAACCTTTGTGCTGTCAGCTGGGATAGACTGTTGTTATTTTATTTCCCCGCAGTACAGATAGCATGACAGCAGCCTGCATGCTTTTTGTCATAGAGACGCTTTAAGCCTGCTGTGGGCACGTAGTACAGTCAGAACATTACTTGGAGACACAAAGACAAGAGGGACCCTTGCATTCATTAAGGTCAGCTGGCCACAGAAGTAGCACATTCTTCAGTTTTCAAATGCATTTGGATCGATGATTGATTGATTGATCGATCAACTGTGTCATGTTTATGACCTAAGCATCAGACCCCAAAATCCAGAGGGGGCGGGGGGGACTAGACTCATTAATTTAAAAAAAAAAAAGTGTTTCTTATCCGATTACTCTATTAACCGATGGATTACTAAAATAATCGATAGTCGTAACCCTAGTCTGTTTCACACTGAATTATGTGAGTGTGCTACATCCTGCAGACGATGAGCTGTGGCTTATAGTCGAGGCACACTGAAGTTCACAGGGAAAATTTATCAGCACAAGCCTGATATACGGCACTACACAACACAGGAAATCCAATTAACGCAGTAAGATCATGTTGAACGCAAGCACATGTCTGGACAAAGACAAAAAAGATCTCAAAGATCTTCTTTGTCAGATTACCCCACCCCCCCACCTCCAGCCCCCGCACGCCTGAACCAAAACCTCTGATAATCTGTGGCTGGTTGCTTAGTGTGTTTTGAGTGTGTGTTCTGTTGTTCATGCTACAGCCATCAGTGCTCACAGAGTTTGAATGAGGTGATCTGTCCAGCGTCATACTACTTCTTTCTCAGTCAGGCCTTTTTTGTCATTGAAGGTTTGTGTTTTGATCTTGAGAAGGTGGCATAAATCACTTTGAATGAATATGATAACTTTCAGCATGAAAAGCTAACCTCCGCCTGATGACTTTGACATATTAGAGGCATACAAAAGTGAAGAGCTAGACCCGGTTGCCACGGAGGAGCAGGTCCAGGAGGTCCAGGGTTATCTTGCCAAGGTGACCGGCATTGGAGAAGTTCTAGCCCGCCGCCATATGAAGGTGGTTTTCTTTGGAAGGTATGTACACTTAAAATAAGTGTGAGTTTATTTCATGACTCGAAGTAGAATTGTGTGAGATGCTGATCACAGCTTTGCTACGTGTTCTTCAGGACCAGTAATGGGAAGAGCTCAGTAATCAATGCCATGCTGTGTGACAAGGTTCTGCCATCTGGGATAGGACACACTACCAACTGCTTTCTGAGGGTGGAGGGCACAGATGGGAATGAGGCCTTCATCCTCACTGGAGGCTCTGAGGAGAGGAAGAACATAAAGGTGAGCAAAGCCGACGAAGTCGACTCTGTGTGGAAAGGAAGCTTCATATCTGACTCTTATGTTGTCTGTGGTTCCAGACAGTGAACCAGCTGGCCCATGCTCTCCACCAGGATGAAGATCTGGATGCTGGCAGCCTTGTTTGTGTCATGTGGCCTAAGGCCAAGTGTGCTCTGCTCAGGGATGATCTAGTGCTGGTGGACAGGTCAGATACATGTTTTGTGGAATAATTCTAGGGGTCTTGCAAGTAGTTGAGGCCATTTTTAAAGTCCAGTTCCATTTCCAGAAAATGTGTGGTCCCACTGAAAATGTAAATCAAATTGCAGTGATTTGGAAATCATTTGAATTGTGTGTGTAATAGTCCAAAGACAAGGTGTCAGAGTTGGAAAACTGAGAAATGTGTTCTTTTAAAATATATGTTCTATCTGAATTTGAAGCCACTGACCTGTTTAAAAAGAAGCTGGGACAGGGGTTATAACAGACCTGAAAAGCTTTGCCTTGCTGTTCTCACAACTAACAAACTTGAGAGCATCCTGTGGAGTCTATACCTTGTAGTAAAGTTGTGAAGTTAAGCAATATAAGAATAGTATTTCTCAAGTCAGATTTTGAGATTGCATCACATATAAACATGTCATTCAAAGAATTTGGATTAAATCTCTGCAAGCAAAGGACAATATGAAGACAGCAGTACGCTAAAAAACTTTAGCTTTAGCTAAGGCTGACGACCTCTCCAAGCAGCCTCAGTCAAACACAGAAGCTGTTTTATATTTATTTAGCTGCCCCCTTGAAATCTAAGCTTTATTTTAGCGCAGGGGTGGGCAACTCCAGGCCTCGAGGGCCTGTGTCCTGCAGGTTTTTTAGTTGTGTCCTTGATCCAACACAGCTGATTTAAATGGCTAAATGACCTCCTCAGCATGTCTTGAAGTTCTCCAGAGGCCTGGTAATGAACTAATCATGTGATTCAGGTGTGTTGACCCAGGGTGAGATCTAAAACCTGCAGGACACCGGCCCTCGAGGCCTGGAATTGCCCACCCCTGTTCTAGCGTGACAGCTGCATGCATGACTTTAAATTTGATCCATTTCAATTTGCAATGGTTACTCGGTGTGCTCAATTCTAACTCTGGCATAGCCTAATAAAGAACACCACAGCGAAATGAACTGACTGAACAGTTATTAATGGTCATGAATGGCCTATAGATGTAACTGATCAGTCTGCGTTGTAGTAGCTATAAATAGGGTTGCAAAGGGGCGGAAAACTTCCGGTAAATTTCCATGGTAAGTTAAGCTTGGGAATTTTGGAAATATTCCATATTGGAAACTGTCCATGGAAATAATGGGAA